ATTTTTTTAAATGCACTTATTCCTCATAAACTAGGTAATTGTTATGCAAAAGGCCCTTATCAATTTAATTAGATAGAGAATGTTTGTCATAACTTTAATTAGTCAAAAAAATTGTTAGAAATTAGTCATAACCTTTCAAATATTCATAAAAAAAATATACGGATTTAGTGAGTTATTTGACATTCTAATCTAACAACTATGGTCGGCAAAAAAATTAGACAACTTCAATTTTTCCTTATAAATTGAGTTTTTTATTCACTTGAAGGGATGATTTGAGGGGCTTTCTATCCACAAATATGTGAAAATTTAAAAGATAATACATAAAAAGTCAAGACTTACTTTCAACTAAGGGTCAAAATTAATTAGATTTAAGAGTCTAAGTAAGGCCAAGTCTAATATGACAAAAGTGGAACTTTATCAAAAATTGCTGTGCAATATATAATAATATAGCACGGAGACTTGATCAATGTTTGTCCTTTAGTGTGGAGGAAAGGATGGAGACTTATCGAATGTTTGCCCATTAGCGGGGAAGGAAAGAATGGAGACTAAAATATTGGTGATGGTGGCTGGTCAATCAAACACCAACAATTTATGGTCTTTTGTTCTCAAAATCAGTTTTGGAACAGAAATCCGTTTAGTAAATTTTTTGTTTCCGGGGTTCCCAGAATCAGTTTTGAAACAGAATTTAGAAGAAAAAAAAAGTAACTTCTTATTTCCAAAATCAGTTTTGGAACAAAATCAATAATCAAGAAAAAAAAATTTTCCTTTTCTTCTTCTTCTTCTTCCTGGCTTGTGGTCGCCGGGCGCTGGTGACCAGCCACAAGGCAAGGTCAGAGAGGGTTGGACACTTGCCGCTTGGGCTAGGGCCGCCCTCGTCGGATCTGGCGTGGGCGACCCTCGCCCTAGCCGCCGCCCTTGCCCTCGCCGCCGCCCTTGCCTAGGCCACCGAGGGCATCCCTCGCCCAAAACCTCCCCCAGGCTGCAAGCCGCCTTTGCCCAGGCGGCAAGGGTATAGCCCTCGTCGGCCTTGGCCTGTGGTCGGTCGCCGGCGCTGGCGACCGGCCATGGCCAAGGAAGGGGAAGGGGAAGGGTAATGGGAAGAAAAAAGAAAGAAATATTAAAATTTTTTAAATATTATTAATAAAAGAAATGTTGTGCAATTACCAAATACATTTCTGTTCTTTTTCTATTTCAAGAATAGAAATTTTGACAGTTACCAAATGCCTTCAAATGTTTAGAAATTATTTCCGGGCACGGAATAAAAAATAATCATTTCTAAGTAGAATCAGCTCCTAGGAACAGAATGATTGTCAAACGCGCCCTAAATTACAGAATGACATCCTTTTCTAACTATTGTTTACAAGTCCATCATTCTAGTCTTGATAAAGGTGACGACTTACAGGGGTGTGCCCCTAAGTTTTTAGCTTCTCAAGGAATAGATTGGCGTATAGTTAAGGCCTAAACTAAGGTTAGGATACTGAGCCCTAGAGTCCATGCCCATCTCCTCTTTCATCCTCGTGGTTTAGGTCTTTTTTATTTCTAATCGTTGGATCGCTAGTGCTATATTTCGGCTATTGATAATCAGATATTCTAGCAAAGAGGTGTTGTGGACATCGGCCTTTTTTTATTTTTATTTCTAGCCAGTGACAGCTTGGAGCAATATTATTTAATCCAACACCTTTCAATTTTATTAGTCTTAAATCTTTTAATAACTTTTCAATATAATTTTTCAGGCCAATTTTGGCCAAAAATGTTGATGTAAAGGTCCAGTTGCTGGTTATCCTACATGCCATGGTCAATATATTGAAGAATTGCATCATAATAACGTTGTTTTGTAGTTTTTCTGAATATTTTTGTTGTATCTTTAAATTTTCTTTTCTTTCCTTTTTCCCACGTTTATCTTCTTCCTCATCATCTTCAGCTGCCCTGCAAGTTTTCCGATCACTGCCTCCGCAAGCTGCCACCGCCATCACCAACAAAGCAACCACCGCCATCAAAATTTGTTTTGCTCTTGAGAGTGCACTTCCTACTTGCCCCGACTGCATTCAAGAACGTAAATTGGGGAGCGAATCTCGTAATAAGAATTTGTTTGAAGAGCGAGAGTGTCCTCCCAACTGAGATTGACGGTGAGCGAGACCGCCTGGCTCGATCTTGGCGTGCCACTTGGCAAAGTCGTTGCACCTCCAAGTTTGTTGAGGCATTCTCGCAAACACATTGAGCGCGAAGCGAACTCATCCTTCAAATAAGGAGTAGAAGAGACTTACCCAGCGTCGGCAGTGGATGGGAATCAAGGTCCCGTTCCACGAGCAAATTGGGTAGTGAAGACGAAGAGGATTTGAAGGAGAGAACACGGCATGATTTGGCACGCATGGACGAGCTACGCCAGCTAAACCATTACCTTCCTAAATGCGCTAATGCGGTGCTTCATCATCATCATCTGTCGATCAACGTCAACCTCCATTAATGGAGGCACTCGAGCGACCTCAGATGTAATGCGCACAACGTCAAGTGAGGTGTCGCAACTCAGTCCCAAGAGGCGAGCTCCATTAATGGAGGTCGACCACACACTAAGGTGAGAGAGAGAGAGAAACGCGATGGCGGCTTCTGTAAGATGGTGGTTGCGGTGGCGATGGCTAAGTTTGATCTTTACGGCGGTGGTCGAGTTGTTGGTGATGGTAGTGGCGGCTTACGGCAGCAGTGACGGTGGCGGCAACATCTTCTAAAAACAACAAAAAGCTAGGGCTTCCAAGGGAGAGGATGAACCGCTAGTTAAGAACATTTAGAAAAAAGGAAAAGATAATAGAAAATGAGAAAATGAGTAAGAAAAATGCGAAAAATAAGCAAAATAATGTTGTTTTGAGTAGAGTTATACACATCGTATTACCGACCGTGCAACGTATGACGGCTAACGATCATACTGGATGCCCTTGACCGGAAGGATTGCAAAAGAATTTTGTGCAGAGATTTAGAATTAAATTATCAAAATTAAAAAAATTTAAAATTAAATTAGAATTTATATAATATGATTAGGATCAATTGGGTAATTTCTCCATCAAAATTGAGTGAAGAAGTGAGTTTATATCCCATATTGTTACCTCTAGGCAAAAACTACGTGTGTCACGTGATGGTGGGCCGGGGTGCCTGTCCTTGTCCATTTGTTCTCTTTACAATTTTCTCATACCTAATCAATGTTTGTGATCTGACCAAAAAAAAAAAAAAATCAATGTTCGTGCGTTAGCTGTGGAGGAGGCTCAGACATTGGTGATGGAATAATGAAATGCAGAAAATCATCCATTTGTGTTACCCCCGATTGTTCATAAGTCCACCATCCTATTCTTGTCTCGATTGAGGAGAGCAGGAGCACTAGGAGCAATATGTGATCAAGTTTTCAGCTACCCAATAAATTAACTGGTGTTTAGTTAAGGCCTTAACCAAGGTTAGGTTACCGAGCTCTTTTATGCTTAAAATTGATAGCTCTTCCCTCCCCTTCCTTCAGCCTTGTTTGCACTCAAAATTCTTAGCCTTCTTCATCTTCTTGCTCTCTTGCTCTGTTTCCATGTTTCTTCTCCTCAGCACAACCATTATCCTTCCTCCTCTTTTTCTTCAGTATCTGCTTCTCTTTTTCATATCATTCTCTCTCTGTCTCTTTGTTTTCTCGCTCTTTGTTTCTCCTAAAAAAAAAATGTCGATCGATCCTGGCCTTCCTGTCGCATGGGATGTCTTGAAGAGCGTACTTGCTCCCATCAAGCGTCAATTCGGATACGTGATATCCTCCAAGAGTTACGCCCTGGATCTTCAGAAGGAAGTCGGGACGCTGGCGTACGAGGCAGAGAGGGTCCGCAAATTGATCTTCAGAATTTGTTTATCAAGGAGTCTCAAAAAGAAAATTTTCTTTTTGAGAAATTAAACTTGTTGACACAAAATTAAGTACTAACTTCACATTGAAGCCTACATCTATATAACTAAATAATAACAGTCTCTGTGAAGAGGACTCAAAACTTGATTATGTTATCATTGTCTTAGTTGGGTGTAATTTTTCTCACTTGGAAATTGTACTTTTTTATACAAAAATATATATATGCACTCACTACACGTACAAAAATCAATGTGAGAATCTATATTTATAATTGTATAATAACAGTTTTCTCCCAAATGGCCGCATCTAAGATTGACACATTTTCCAATAAAAAAACGCGGCGACCTAGTCTCCACCTAAGCTAATATTATGCACGACAATATTCTTATATGCATTAATTTCTTATTAACTAGATAAATTTTCTACTCAACCTAATTACAAGGAATATGCGCCATGACTTTAATTGTTTTTACTCAGTCAAAATTGTTTCAAACGGCCATAATGCATCTACCGAATTGGGGGCAAATTGACCTTTTCAACCCAACAATTTTGATGGGCATGTTTGTCTCTGAGACTGATAAGCGCATAGAATTTTAGAGAGCTAACATTCAACCATGTCTTGAGGCCAATATTATGAATATCTATCATATAATACTAGTACTTTAACATTATACTTATTTAGCATCTCTATGGTACAATTATTGAATATCTATAGTGCGATAATTTTATGTGGACAATATCTTAAGAAATGATACAGAATACAAAATACACTTGCTCGTTATAATAAAATATTATTTCTTGCTTAACATCAAAATTGGTGCAATTAGTTAGGGCGTTGCGAGATTTTCAGCTCGAAAGTGGAGAGTTGTTCATTTCAATTTCACAAATTACCTACGCAGGGTAAGGCATGGCGTAATTAGGTTGGAAAGATATTACATAAAAAGTCGAGACATGTTTTCACCACCTAATGGTCCACATTAATTAGATATCTGTCCCGTAGCAGTGGAGCAGCAGCGGAGGAAAGGACAATCGATCCCTCGTCCTTTTCTGAATGTCTATGCCATATTTTCACTGAGTCCACATTGGTGGCTTGACAAAGGTGACCGACAGCGGAATTTCTTTTATTTCAAATCGTTGAATCTCCATTACTGAATCTCAGCCGTTGATCCCTCATCCTTTTCTGTACTCGAATCTCTTCGCCTTCTTCCTTACTCATCCATCTTGCTCTGTTTCGCTCTTTCTCCTCCCCACACCCATTCTTCTTCACTATCTGCTGCCCTTTCTTTTTCTATCATTCTCTCTCTCCGTCTCTCTGTTTTCTCGCTCTTTGTTTCTCCTACAAAAAAAAAAAAATGTCGATCGATTCTGCCGTTTCTATTCTATGGGATGTCTTGAAGTACGTAATTGTTCCCATCAAGCGTCAATTCGGATATGTGATGTCCTCCAAGAGTTACGCCCTGGATCTTGAGAAGGAAGTGGGGAAGCTGGCGTACGAGGCCGAGATGGTCCAGAATGCTGTGGAAGTGGCTAGAAACAATCTTCGGAATGTCTATAGTCATGTCGCGCAGTGGCAAGTAAGTGCTGAGAAGGCCTTGAAGGAGGCGCGAGACCTGTTGGACGACTTTGAAAAGGCCACAAAGACTTGCTGCTACGGGAGTCTTCCCGACCCCAATTGTCGCTATCAGTTCAGCAGGAAGGCCAAGCACATGATCGAGGACATTCAGCGACTCGCTCAAGAATGCAGTCAATTCAAGGATATCTCTTCCAGCGGTCCAGCTCCAGGGAATGTCGCTGCTTCGACTCCGGCCAGGAGAGAGGGCAAAGTTGTCGTCCAGTCGACCGCCGCAACGGCCTTCGCTTCTTTGGCCTCGATGTCGATTAAGCTTAAGGATGACGACATCTTCAAATCCAGAGAATTGATCATGCGAGAGATCATGGCCGCTCTTGCCGATAAGAACAATAGCGTGGTTGGGATTTACGGGATGGGTGGGGTCGGCAAGTCCACCCTATTGGCGGATGTCGAAAGGAGAATAAGGAAAGAGAAGTCGTTTGATTGGGTCGCTAAGGCTGACGTGTCGGAAAATCAAGACATCAAGAGGATTCAAGGAGAGATTGCGCACGCGTTGAAGCTGGACATGAAGGATGCAGAGTATGTCAATTCCCGAGCGGAGCGTCTGCGCGCGAGATTGGAAGATGAGGTGAGTGAGAAAAAGAAGGTCCTCATAATACTGGACAACCTGTGGAAGGGGCTGGACTTGAAATCAGTGGGCATTCCTTGCGGACATGACAACAAAGTCATAGGATGCAAGTTGTTGTTGACGTCAAGAGATCGTGATGTTTTGCGAAGGGGTATGGGCTGCGACAGGGACTTCCATCTTGATGCGCTGAAGGAGGAAGAGGGAAAGAGATTGTTTGAGAGGACGGTGGGAGACAAAGTTCATGATGACCCATTCAAATCCTTGGTGGATAAAGCACTCCACAAATGTGCAGGTTTGCCTTTCCTGATTATTGCAATGGCGAATATTTTTAAAGACGCCAAGTTTCCAGAATGGAGGGATGTTTTGAGACAAATCGAGATGTCTACAAACAAAGGAATCAGTGAGCAGATAAATGAGATGTTGCAGTTGAGTTATGATCGTTTGAAAGGGGAGGATGGCAAGGAGGCGAAGTCATTGTTACGGCTCTGTGTTGTTTATGGTGTCTCTAAGCCCTCTCTTGAAAACTTGGTGAGGTACGGTGTGGGTTCGAGGTTATTTCGAGAAGATAGCAGCATGGAAGAAGTTAGAGATAGGTTGAGCTCACTGATCCGGACCTTGAAAGCCTCCTCCCTTTTGTTAGCAGACGATGAAGATGTTGATGGTTTCAAGATACATGATTTGGTTCGTGGATTTGTTGCCTCGGTTGCTTCAAGAGATGACCCTCTTCTCGTGTTGAAAGATAATGATAAGTCGGTGACAGATTTGCCCAAGGACAAGCTCAAAAGTTGTACAGCAATATGCTTTCCCTACGTTGACATGAAGGAGCTTCCCGAAGAGTTAGATTGCCCTGAAATGCAGATCTTTTTGTTGTTCACAAACAATGAATCTCTTAAGGTCCCAAATTCATATTTCAGCTCTATGAGAAAGCTCATGGTCTTACATCTTTCTCAGGTTCGTCTCACTCGTTCACCTTCGCCGTTTAAGTTCTTGGAGGATTTACACACTCTGTGTCTTGATGGTTGTTTGTTAGAGGATGTAGCCATGATTGGCGAGCTAAAAGGGCTACATGTTCTCAGCTTTGTGAACTCCAAAGTTCAACGATTGCCAAAAGAAATTGGACAATTGGTAGAGCTGAGGTTGTTAGACTTGAACCATTGCTCACGACTTGAGATAATTGAACCGGGTGTGCTTGGAAGCTTGATAAAATTGGAGGAGCTGTATATGGAGAATAGCTTTGATCGATGGAATGCCGTGGAGCAAAGTCCACCGACTAATGCCATGCTTATTGAGTTGAATAACATGAAGAATCTATACACTTTGCATGTGTCCATTCTCGATCCGAGTGTTCTCCCAGAGGATCTAAATGTCAAGAAATTAACTAAGTACAAAATCCAAATAGGTTACATGCTGTACTGGCCAAGTCAAAAAGGATCGAGCACATTGCAGCTTAAGTTAGAGCCAACAAGCGATATTCTTCATAAAGGATGCATACAAACTTTCTTAGGCAAAACTGACGATGTATTTTTGGACGGACTAGGCGGAATTGATCACAGTATTTGCGCGTTGTCTCAAGAAGGCTTTCGAAAATTAAAGCATCTACACGCTGAGAATAGTCCCTCCGTCTATTACGTCCTCCAATCGCCCCCCCATACAGATTTTAAGAAGTTGGAGTCGTTAGTTCTCAAGAATCTCATCAACTTGGAGAAGATATGCAACAACCATATCTCCTCCAAGTCCTTGAGTGCATTAAAAGTAGTACGAGTCGAAAGTTGCGACAAGATGGAAGTTTTGTTTCCTCTTTCATTATTGAAAGAACTTCCACAGCTTGAAGAGATCCGAGTTGTCATGTGCCACTTAATGCAGGAGATTGTGCAAGTTGATGATTGTGGTAAAGTTGAGTTGAGTAATTTGCATGTATTAGAATTGCGTGACTTGCGAAATATCAAGAACTTTTTCACCGCTGGGACGGCTGCTTCAAGTAGTACATCAAAAGACCAAGTTGGCACTCAAGTTGCATTCTTCAATGGGCAACAGGTAACTTTCTATGAAAAGAATATACTATTTATTAATCTTTTACTCATTTGCTAATTAGATGTAACGCAGATTTTAATCCTTGTTACTATTTTTTTTATTTTCAGTTCATTTTCTTCCTAATTACCTTATCCAATCATGCCTTCTCTTTAATTAGCTACAGCAATCTTCCGTTTCTCTTCATTGTGTAGAAGTCCAACTAATAGAATTAAATCTGTAAGGACCCGGGGTCTACACTGTGTAATATTGTCCGCTTTGGGCCCACTGACCCTCACGGCTTTAAAACGCGTTACACAGAGTAGAGAACCCAAGCCTTATAAACTAGCCCAGGACTCCCCTAAGCGATGTGGGACAAGAGACATGCCCCCCTTGCCATCCTAGAAGCCTGCCAGAGCCGCTCCTTGTCCAGGCCCTCGGCCCCGGCGACCACTCCCCGCCCTCGTCGGACCAGGGTCGTTACATTCTCCCTCCTTCGAGCACGGCGTCTCGTGGCCCCACACGCATCGATCGGAGTCGGCTCGATACCATTTGTAAGGACCCGGGGTCTACACTGTGTAATATTGTCCGCTTTGGGCCCACTGACCCTCACGGCTTTAAAACGCGTTACACAGAGTAGAGAACCCAAGCCTTATAAACTAGCCCAGGACTCCCCCCTAAGCGATGTGGGACAAGAGACATGCCCCCCCTTGCCATCCTAGAAGCCTGCCAGGAGCCGCTCCTTGTCCAGGCCCTCTGGCCCCGGCGACCACTCCCCGCCCTCGTCGGACCGGGTCGTTACAAAATCCATGTAAAATTAATTTGCGATAGGATCTGAGTTAATTTCGACTAACATGCTGCAAGTATACCTATATTAATAGGGTCTTTTACAGAGCAGCATTGAAGGAAATTTTGGCATTAGAATAATTCCATAATAACGTCATTTCATAATCTTGTAAAATGGATTCACTGAATTTAGTTATCTAACTTTGTTATTATCTCTAAAATATAATATCTAGGTGACTTAGGTAAAAAAACAATACGAAGAATGGGCAAGGGGATTGGGTTTTCAAATAGTAGCAACAATGCTAATCTAATTTAGGCACGTCTTTTTCATATCGTCTATTTCAATAAGCACTTAGTCATTGCATCGGTCCTATAATTATAAAAGTACACAATTTCGTGCATGTTCATGCGTGCAAGCATACAAAATTGTATAAAAGATATAGATATATTGTAAGCATTTGGCATAAAAAAACATAAATCTTCAACTTGTGCTAATATCTCGTAGTCGTAGGCATTAGTGAGCAACTTTTAGGAAAGACTACACGAAATCCCCCATGAAGATTTAAAGCGGTACACATCTACTTCCGAAATTTGGTTATATAAATTATGGCGTATTGAGCATAGCAATGTGATGTTATCATTTATTGTTAGTTAGAGAAGTAAGTAAACTAAGGGTAAACAATGTTCCAATTAAGAAAAGCGAAAATTGCTTAGAGCGTTTACATTGACTTAGATATGATCGTCCTTTTATAATGATGTAATTATCATTGAAGTTGATGATGGAGTTCAAGACTCGTGCAATATGTGAGTTTCCCTGTTAGTAAAGAATCGTGCAAATTTAAGTTGCGGGTCCCGTGAACTTCCATGAAGAGAAATTTAAGTTGCCAACGTAGATTTATGAAGTATAAAAGGAAGTTTGAGTATGGATGTTTGCGACACGCATGGATGGCCGACACGTGTCATCTTGCTTTCCTTCTTTTTTTGGGCCCCGTTGTCGCCACACTCATCGGCCACCGCCATGACCGGCCACAGCTCACTGTTGCGCCTTCCTGTGGTTGATTCTTCGGTGACATGAAGAGAGAGATAGACAGAGAACAAGAATATGGTAAAAAGAAAAAAAAAAGAACAAAGAAAAAATATGTGCCACGTGTCTAACTATTCGTGCGAGCCGCAGACAATAGGTATAACTCCACACCCAGGTAGTCAATAGTAAGGATAAAAGGTACTAGCCATAATGAACTACCAATTCCTACCATTTGTGAGAAAGATACAAGTTATAGCGCAATTTTTAAAAACAACTTCCTCATGTCATTGGATAAATACACATTACTTCATTGGATCTTATTGGAAAAATTATAATATTGCACGCATAAATGGATTGGGCCTGGATAAGCCCCAGTGGGCTAAGGTGCGTTGGTGGCCCAGGCGGTGAAAGAAAGGAAGCTACTTGCAGTAACTAAACTTTTATGATAGTAATTTTTGCCGGTGAAGTACTAAATTACTTTTCGAAATTGCTAAGTTTCCCTAGGGAGGTAGTACTTAGACATACCTTCTGTAATTAAGGTCTTATAGCATAATAATTTGCTTATTCTAATGAGATATTTTCCTTTGTTAGTAAATTGCCTATATCTTTCGTAATCACGGTCATTCTACAGTTTCTTTATTTTTTTTCATCGTAATAATCTCTATTGTGAGATAGTATAGTACTTTCTAACAATCATCTAATAAAATGAGTAATGTATCATCAAAGTAGTAACATAACCTAAGAGGAAGTAGTTTACCTTATAGAAAGTAATTTTCCTTGAATGTACTTCCTTTTGTGTTATGGATCACTAAGTTTCGTAGTCATTAGCAAACTGAATGAATGCTATTTCTTGATGACTGTAGTTTCCCTTATTGTTTATAAGTTGCAAACAAAATCTCCTCCTAATACCATCCACGAAAATATTTTAAATAAAAAGTGAAGTTCGTTAGTTGTTTTTGGGGTCGTAAAATATCTTTTCGGATTGTAAATTAGCTTTTTTTTTTATCATAGATTTTTGTAAATGCAAAAATTATCCTAAAGTTCGTAAGTTTTCTTTTGCAATTATTTGTAATAACCTGCTATAGCACATAAGTTTCTTGCTTACTCTTTGTAATTGTAGATGCTATTGCTGATGGGTCTATTTGTCAGGTTTCAATCCCATCGTTGGAGTCCTTGACTATGGTTGGACTTCCCAATCTGGAAGATATATGGACTGATGAATCTCCATTAGGGCTGAGCAACCTCCAATTTCTTAAGGTGTCTTCATGCAAATCTATTTCAAAGGTTATTTACTCTAGGTCACTGGCAAACCTACACAAGTTACACACTTTAGAGGTAGAAGCTTGTGTTTCGGTGCAAGAAATTTTTGACCTTGACGGACTAGGCGCCAATGCAAATATTGAGACTCTCTCTGAGCTAAGCACCATCAATATAGATGATTTACCAAGCTTGAGGCACATATGGAACAAGAATCCTTGTGGAATCGTGAGATTCCATAATTTAAAGCAGTTACGTGTGTCTGGTTGTAACAACCTCGTGTTTCTATTTTTGCCATCCGTGGTTCAATCTCTCTCACAATTGAGAGAACTAAAGGTATTAGATTGCAAGAAGATGGAGGCGATCCTTATGGAGGAAGAAGGGTTAAGAACAGAAACTCTAGTATTCCCGATGTTAACCAATTTAGTCCTTGCAAGTTTGGAAAGTTTGACGTGCTTCTCTCGCAGAGAATGTAAGATTGATTTTTTTGGTTTCATCATAGAAGATCTTCTTAGATTAGTTCATACATGCAATGTAAAAGATGACATTCGTTTCATCTATTTAAACATCGATGATAGGTTCACGAGAAGCTCAGAGTGAGGACTGCGTCAAATCGTGCTCTACTACCCTCTTCAATCAAGAGGTACGTGATTAATGTTACGTCAAAATCTTACAATCTGATGGAGTAAAATGCTTGGCATCAATTTTATGTGTTACAGCACTTTAGAAGTTTACATGCTGTGCATTTCAAGTTGCCACATGGCACTACAAACAATTGGCAGGTTTCAATTTACATCAATAAGAGTTGGATCAATCACATCAAATTATTAAGAAATTATAAAATAAGATATGTGCATATAAATAATTACTACGCCAGCCAGCTAAATAATTAATATTAACTCTGACAAGAAAATAATTAAAATTAACAAATAAATAGTTAGTTCTATTGGAGACAAAGCACAATCACCAAGCTCACTTTGGTTAAAATTGATTGCGTTCCACATAATCACTGCACCATAAATCTGGATAAGTCAAAGTAGAGTTACTATTCAAATTGTGATTTTAAATTGAAATGAAGGAATTAAAGTAGAGTCACTATATATACAAAAGTTGGATAACTATCTTCAATGAGCTCAATTGTGAACTATCAAATTATGGGGTTAAAGTCACTCCCTTTAACTATATATTAAAATATTTTGTAATATAGTCGTCGAACTTTAATTTAATCACCCAAGGCAGTAAATTTTCATTTCTTTATAATTTATGCACTTAGACCAAAAATTCGAAATTTCTGACGAACTATCGGTGTGGCAGACACCATTTTTCTGAACGTGTTACTGTTACCAAGTCATCATTGAATTAGCACCTGGAAAATTTATATAATTATATTATTACAGAGTAACTCTTCATTAATATCCTCAATGGCTATCACTTCAACTTTTAATTTGCAAGATGATCATTCTCCTCGCGATTGGAACTTTTCTGGTACTTTCCACTCATCTTGCTTCCATAAAAAATTCCTCAATTCTCTTAGGTGGTTGCCTTGTTCGATGCCATTAGTTTCAATGAGTTTTAGCGTTGCAAGTCAAACCCAATCCTTGGAAATGTACCTCTTCATATTATATATGTCTTTTGATGAGTTTTGTAATTTTCTCTCAATATTACAATAATGTTATACTACATATATAAAATCACACTATGTCATATAATAATGACAATTAGGAATTTTTAAATGTTATCAAATCCCTATGTTTTACATAATACGAGTTAAGAATTTAGCCTTTTTTTTCAAAATGAAGGAGATTCATATAAAATGAGATACACTTTAATTAATTATTTGTATTAAAATACATATTCTGATTTTACATAAACGAAAAATTCTACGCCCGTACAGCGCATGAGAATGCTGCTAATTACCCAGTAATTAAAGAAAGAGGAGTCACGCGAAGGAGTGTCTCAGCTTCTGCCAGGTGGGTAGACATATAGGTTATTGTGCAAAATATTTTGAACATTCTGAAGCTTCCATGTTAGCATCTTTCTTCCAAACGTAACCAAATATAAGTACTTTGTTGCGGCTACTCAATCTAGACGTAACTAGATATAAGTACTTTCTATAAATAAAAAAAAAGACTCGCCGGCAATTCATGTTCAATGGAGTACACTATATTTTTCTTAATTTTGCTATAAAATTTATGTATATTAAGTTTGTATCAATTTGTATCATTTTCGAATTTGTCAGATAATTATTTACGATCATGTTGATTCGTGTAAGAAATTATCATCCCTTTCAGTTCTTATCTTTTTTATAAAATTTTACTAGTTTTCACGGGCATGTACAATTGCTTTTGGGTACTTTGATACTCAAAGGATGGATGAATTTCGTGGTAAATGCAAATAGCATTACTCGAGTGACGAAAAAAAGAACATGCTACCCTCTTGTTAATACAATAGAAATGTTTGTCACGTCAAAAGGTAGATTATACACAACTCTAGTATACTCTTTTTGAATCAACACATTTTGAGTCAATTAGAAAAATCAAGATATCATCAAAGCAAGCTAAAAAGAAATTAAATATTGGACAATTTTATTACAACGTAGACCTAGTAAGAAGTAGACAATCGGGAAGTAAACATAATCGCATTAAGAGAACTGAGGAAAAAAAAAACGAGAAACTCCAATCATAAATGCACACGAGGAAGGGAAAGTAAAAAAAATAAAGAGAAAAAAAACACGAGGACAAAAAAAATCACATAAGTTTGACACACACATACACGTATGTTATTTGTATTAGATTTGATAGGCGATCTTTAAGATTAATTTTGTTCTCAAATATACTCTATTAAATTGGAAAATAAAATTGAAGTTGTGTTGAAAAATTGGACTGCTACAAACAAAATTCTTTTTGTCAATTTCAAAACTAAAATAGAAAGTTTGTTTTCACATTTGACCATTCAATAAAAATTCTTCAACGATGATACATCCATAAATATTGTCGTAGCCAAATTACTTGAAATGATGATCATTTTTTGGCAATGTCAACGATCAATCGTTTTGTAATAAGTACTCATAAAATGTTATAAATCATCATTTACTTTAACTAAATACGGAAAATGTGTCTGCAATATCTAACTGTAAATCAAAATACATATTTCATTTTAAAATTTGAGTTTTCCGATATCGAGTTTGAATTTGGAAATGCAGTGTTTGATAAATCACTTGCTGGTTGGATAAAAAAGAAACTCTCTTACTATAATATTGTGGTTAATATGATAATAGATCGATGTACTTTATTTTCATCATTTAGAAAACGGAATACCCTTAATTACCGTGATAATCAATAAAAAAAATATTTTAGAATTAGGGCAAGGCAATTCCGACAACCTGCAAGAGGAGGCACAGTTTTTAGTACAACTTGACTAAATTGCCCTCAAACAGTGGTCCCACCACCTTCTTCTGTTAAACTCAGAATTCTTTTTCTTTTTATATTTCCATGAACATTCAACCTTTTTTCGAGGGTGGCATTTGTTACAAATTTCTGTCTTTCCTCTTGCAATTGAGTCTAAAAAAGAAATGTCTCTTTTTCGCTGATTGATTAAACAGAGGCGAGAGAGACAATTATTGTGAAATTATATTCGCCATACCAAGAAAAAATTTATAAAAAAAAAAGAGTAGCATGCAAGTGTTAAGTGTTCAAAGTGGAAGACATGTATGAGTTGCAATTTCTTACGTATTATTTCTTTGGAAAATAGTTTCCATAAATATGGATGAACATCTCTTATGACACCCGTACGGTTTCCAAAAGCTTTTTCGATGTTAACAAGAAAACTTAAAATTCACAGAAATTTCACATGTATGGCATGGACATTGCAAGCATGTGCAAGAAAACAATTGAAAAAAATTGAGAGGAAAGCAGTAAGGGGCCTTTGAGACGCATGTGACTTCATTTGTACTTGCAAGATCTGCCTTATTCTGTGAAAATGTGCCCTTCAATAGGATTGATATGTTGACTTTATTAGATATTTTTAATCTTCTTTAATGAGCTATCTAGGACTATTTTCGATAATTGGACTTTGTTAGTCGTATGAACTACAAATGTTATCTAACTGTTGGATCATCCAACACGGTAAAATAGTTACGAATCTTCAAAGGGAAGTTCAATCAATTGAGTATATTGAGTTCTTTCAAGTGTAAAATGATAAAAGTTAAGATTTGTTCATTTTGACCCAAGCAATAATCCCGTTTTTCATTGTTTTGTTTTAGCCTGACTTTTTAATTGCTTTAGAGTGATATAATATTGAATAAAATTAATTTATATTGACTTTAACCGGAAGTAATGATGTCCTTGACATATTTCACGTATATTTTAGAGATATTAAAGATTATAACTTAAGAAATCGTAACATTATTTGTATTGCACGTTTTTAATTTTAGTATATTAGTAAAATTAATAGAAACCTAAAGGGCTAGCAAAGAGACTATGGGGATTAATACACTAATTTTGAAGTTAAACTCGTCCAAAATGAAACATGAAACTAAATTTAGGAATGTGAAATCTTGTGGGATCATTACCAACTGTTCTAAAAATTTAAGCTGTTAGATGAAGACGTGATTTAATATTTAAATATTCTAACACTTCCCCTCATGCGTAGGCTAGACTTTGGTCTTGACCTAAAGCATGTAAATATGTAATTGGGGAGACAAATAGGGATTTAGAAAAATTTGAACTCAGAACCTCCTACTCTAATATCATGTTAGATTTTTGTGGAACCACTGCCAACTGTTTTAATAATAACTGCTTAAGCTTTTAGAACAGTTGGCGGTGTGGTCCCACAAACCCTCACAAATAAAATGAAAAATGAATATTGCTAATATGGGCAAATTAACCACGATTACTTTATCGAAGTAGCATAGTTATCATGGAGAAACAACACAACCAACCGCCAAAATTAAGGTCCACTAAGATTAAGGAATATCGTCCCTTTTGTTTTCAAATATTTCATATTGCCTTTTGAACCGTCCTTAAAAAAAACGGATAAGTGCACTAAAAGTCCTAAAACTTGTTATGAAAGTGTAATTTAGTCCTAAAACTTTAAAAAACTGCAATCAAATCCTAAAACTTATCACAAAAGTGCAGTCGAGTTCTAAAACTTTCAAAAATGTAATCAAGTCCTAAAACTTGTCACGAAAATGCAATCGAGTCCTAAGACTTTTAAAAAGTGCAATTAATTGATGGACTTGATCGTACCAATTTGACAAGTTTTAAAACTTGTTTGCACTTTTTGAAAACCTTAGAACTTGATTGTACTTTCGTGACAAGTTTTAGGATTTTTAATATACTTATTTCTAAAAAATATGGAGAGACTAATATACGACAAAACATAAACGAAAAAGCTTTGTTTGTCTTATTGCTTTGTGCGGTCTGTCCAATATTTGGTATGACCTTTACAAGATGAGGATGCGTTCACGAACGCATCTAATAAGACGACCCCAATCTATAGACCAAGATTGTCAGGACCAACGCGTCGTCCATGCGGTTCCTTGCATCTCGTAAATTTTCTTTACCACAATTAAGAAACTCATAATTTGATTTCAAGGTTTAGTGCGAGCAGCTACTTCTGTAGTGCACCTTCTGATGGTTGATTAGTCGTCTTTTTAATCACAGTATCTCCATCGTTTTCTTTCTAATGCTAACACTCTTCCTCAAGCTTTGCTGTATGCAATGGAACTTCATGAACTTTTAATCTAACAGAATCACTAATTTCGTGAGCGAATACCGCAGGTTGCATTTCCTAGCTTGGAGACATTAGACATCTATGGCATGGATAATATTGAGATAATATGGGACAATCAAGTTGCTGCGGAGTCTTTCCACAAACTGAAATCGCTCAGTGTTTATCAATGCAATAAGCTAGTGAACATCGTTCCTTCTTGCATTCTTGGTCGGCTCAAGAGCCTGGAAAGTTTGGACGTACGATCATGTGGTTCGCTTGAAGTTGTTTTCAACCTTCAGCCGCTAAATCCTCTAGATGGACATCCCATTGCTCGCTTTCCGTTAAAAAAGCTAAACTTAGATGGATTACCAGAGCTAAAGTGTGTATGGGATAAGGAACTCCACAGCCAAGTCAAATTCCAGTGTCTCCATTCTGTTACCATTTCCAGATGCAAGAGCCTCGCCTCTCTGTTTCCAGCCTCAGTAGCAATACATCTAACCCAACTTGAGGAGTTAGAGATCAATGAATGTGGCATTGTGGAACTCATCGAGAAGGAAGGACCAGTTCTTGAGGCTGTCTTCCCAAAGTTAACCTCCCTCCAGCTTAAGTATCTAACAGAGTTGAAGTGCATCTACACAGGAACACATGCTTTACGTTGGCCAGCATTGAAGACCTTGGAGGTGCATGGCTGTAACAAAGTGGAGACGCTTGCTTCGCAACCCAATAATGAGATGCCACTTCATAAACAACCTCTGTTCTTGATAGAAAAGGTACGACCCAAGATTATTTGTTTTGCTTCGATGGTGAATATTCGAAGTGTTGAGTAAGGTCACAACCAAGCATCTCATACAAGTAGCTATACATATGAAGATGTAAACTGTACGCCTCTCCTTGAATCCATAGAACTATTACTACATGGAAACATCGTATGTTCTTCAAATATTGAATGAACATTCTTGTCAATGTCTAACACAATGCAAAACCGTTGATTTGAAAAAAGGTTTGGGCTAATTCCGATCATTCAGCTCTCTCTTAAGTACCATGAAGATTTAAAATACGTGGCATGTGGTGTGATGTTACCAAGGAGCAATTGTGTTATCTAATTTGGACTATGTAAAGATGACTGATTTTATGCTGAAAAACGGAAAGATGTGACATTTTTATTGACATTAATCTCTTAAATTTGTGCAATTGTGATTGTATGGAGAAGTTATTTTCACGAGGTATGTATCTGTAAAAATGGGAATGTAGGGATTTACTTGAGTTCAAATATGGGTACAAGTCAAATATAAAAAATTGGTCATAATGTCTATTGCATGAGGGCGCATTTCCTTCCGGTAAATCATATGAGACTCAACATCTTAAAACGTAGTTATTGTGCACGATAGGCAAGACTTATACCATAACACATGAATACTCTTTTAACTAAGTTGGTTTCAGATTCTGATTTGACTAATTTCTCAGGGCGCATTCCCAAATCTAGAAGAGTTAAAATTGGATTTATTCGAACGGATGGAGATATGGAATGGACATTTTCATGATGGAGAATTCTTCTGCAAGCTAAGAGTTGTTGAGCTTCATCATTGCTCGCAGGAATCTGCTATATCCACGTATCGTTTTGTTCAAAGTTTAACCAACTTGGAAAAGCTGGTTGTATGCAAATCTTATCTAGAAGAGCTAAGCATCATTATGAAAGCCATAGAAGGTCCAAGTCATGAGCAAAAAGTACTATTACCCTTTTCAAGATTCTATCAAAACCTCAAGACTCTAGATGTGTCACGTTGTGATGGGTCATCCAATATGTTTACATCGACAATAGTTGGAAATTTGGTAAAACTCACAAAATTGAGGATAAGTAACTGTAAAAAGTTGACAGAAGTCATTTGTGACGAGGGAGGTGAGGAGGGGCTTGTGCTGGCTTTCAATCAATTGAAGTATATGGAGCTTGATGGGTTGACAGGGTTGAGATGTTTCAGCTCAATTAAATATACTCTGAAGTTCCCTCTCTTGGAAGATGTCATTGTGAGTGGATGTCCCAGCATGAAGTTCTTCTCTAGGGGACCAATAGAGGCACCAAAGCTGGAGAGAGTACAAGTATCAACGGAAGCTTGGTTTTGGAAGGGAGACCTCAACATCACCATCCAAAATATGTTTGAAGAAATGGTATGCATTGGTTACCAAATTCTGTGCAATTGGATGGTCTTCATCACCAATAGAGTAATTTCTTTGTGCTGAATAGACGTTTACATTTAATGATGCTTTTTCTAACAGGCTACGGTTGCTGGAATAGAGTTTTTGTGGCTGTCTGAGTTCCCCGAGCTGATTGGAAAATGGCACAGCGAACTTAATCCCATCAAGTTATCTTGGCAATTACAATCACTGACGGTGGATAAATGTCCATCATTTATTAATGTTATTCCATCCAGATTGATGCTTCTCTTACACAACGTGAGAAGATTGCAGGTGCACGATTGCGAGTCGCTGGAAGAAATATTCGATCTTGAAGGATTGAAGGCGGTGGAAAGCACTCGGGTGCTGCCTAGGTTACGGTATCTAGACTTGGTCAATCTACCAAAGTTGAGGCGACTATGGAACAACGATCTTCAAGGGACATTGCGCTTCAATAGTATATTTAGTCTTACCCTTTATAATTGTGGTAACTTGACACATGCTTTCACTCCATCGATGGCTCAGAGCCTTGCCAATCTATGGTGGATGGAAATAAAGGAGTGTGGTCAGATGGAAGGAGTGATCGCAGAGGAAGAAGGGCAGGGAAGCTTAATGGAGAAGATTACATTCCTGAATCTCCGTTGGATGGAGCTGGAATGCTTGCCCAATTTGACTAGTTTCCTCTCGGTGAAGAATCATACGTTGGATTGTCCCAAAATAGAATATCTGACAATTGCCCACTGCCCCAACATGAGAAGTTTGACTTGGCAATCTTTGACGGAGATTGACCACCACACTCCTTCGCTCTTCACTCTACAGGTCAGTCTTCTTTTTCATCATCCAATGCTTTTGTTTTTTAGATTAATCATCATGTCAAATGGAAGTACAAATGGAATGCCAGTGATTGGAATTTGGAAGTAGAATGGTGCTTTGCATGCGTCACAAGAAACAATTTTAGTTCCAGTCCAATGCAACATCCGCTTTCTTTCTTTCTTTTGTTTTTGCCTCCGAAATCCTCAACACACGGTATCAATCAAGGATAAGAAGTTGGTTACCTATTACAGGCTATAAAATATTGTAGTTTGGTGTCAGCACCAACTAAAACTTCACAATTGTAAACCCACTCACAAATTGGTTAAACTGAAATCTTCCCAATCACTGAAATCGCAAACCAAGAATTTGTTTTTACGAAGAAGGTCAACTGAAAACCAATTGCATCTTCAACTTGAAGCAAATAAATCAAAGAATTGTTACGAGATAATTGTCCAAAAAGTCTTAAACCTACTGCACTTATGCCAATTCAGTTCTAAATTTTTTTATTATGTCAATTTAATCCTAAACCTTTTGATGATTTGTCAATATAGTCCTTCCGGCCAAATTTCATCCGGTAATTGCTGACGAGGGCACTGGCCATCCTATGTGGCATAACCAGCACTGATGTGGATAATTTTTGCAAAATTTCAAATTTTCTGAATATTTTTCTTTTGCTCTTTCCTTTTTTTTTTAATTTTATTTCTTTCCTTCTTTTCCACATTACTATTCATTTTCTTCTTTCTTTGTCCTCCATCTTCGCTGAACGTAGAAGCAAAAAAGCAAACCAATCTTCTTCTTACTCTGTCCTCCACTGTTGTTTGGAAATGCCATCGAGCTTGGCGTCTTCATGATCTCGACCAAGCCAGACGATTGCGAGATCCGCTGCGCATCGACCTTGAGCCCTAGATCTGGAGGGCTCGATCTTTGCTGCAGCGTCGACCATGAGCATCCGGATCTGGAGGGCTTGAGCTCCGTTGTGGCATGGAGTTAGGTTAAAAGTCTTTAAAAAACGATTTGGGTGTTCTGATCTATATCTTTTAAACCCATTATGCTCCCCGAAATCAACTCGCAAGTTCCTTTTTTCTATTCTTTTTTGCCCTTTTCCATGAGTTAATTTCAATCTACTATATAATATAACTAACGGATGGTAAATCAACTCAAGTTCGAGTTCGTCACCTTCAAGTTGAAGCGCAAAAAAATTTAGCAGTTGTATGCAAGACAATATGACGGAAAGCACTCTCTAGCGTACCTGCCAGAAGGAAGTGTTCATTTTCTGGTGCAATGCAATCAGCTCCAAGATTGAGTCCGATTTAGTCAGGAAGCGAAACTTTTCTTAGAGATTGAAGAGGAAAGCATGGGATTGGGTTAAGGAAGATGATGAACAGCGAACACAAAAAGGAAAATAATTCATAAAATTATGCAAAATGACATCATTTTGATTCAATTTGTCCACGTCACATTACTGGTAGTGCCACATAAGACGGTGGGTGCTGACTGAACTGCCACGTGAGCGATTTTCCGGCCAAAATTGACCGGAATGACTTTATTGGCAAAACGTCAAAATGTTTAAGACTAAATTGACACAATTGAAAAATTTAAGATTGAATTGGCACAAATGTAATAAGTTTAGTTCTTTTTGGACAATTTTCCAAATTGTTACCTTACAAACCAATTGCAAGCAACTTTTTGTTTTTTTAATATTCAAATTGAGAGAACTTTCCAGGAAGTCATCACGGAAACTTTCCAAAAATTAGAGGGAGAAGGCGTTACCAGTATTGAATGTGAAATAAGCCAATTAAAAGTGAATGTTCAATGTACTATTGATTATAAATTGAATTTAGGAGAGGTTGCCGTCGAAGTAGAACAAGGAGGAAATACATGTACACACCACCATCTAATTTTTCGAAGAATACAAGTCAATTTTCAAATTTACTTTCATTGAATTCAGATTACCCGAGCAAATATCTTTACCAAATTTGTTTTAAATTTCATCATTTCTTAGAAAGGCAATAAACACATACCAACTGTTCAGGTTAGTCTATTTTTCCATCACTCCTCTTTTTGTTACAGATTCTTTACAGGTTTTAACTATTGCTTTCTTTTCTGACGGAGGAAATGCTTGAGTTTTTTTTCTTATTCTAATGCTTTTGCCCAATTTTTATTTTTTTTATTCTTATGTCTGAGTAGAACGTTTCATCATAACTAGCATCCATACTTCTGTTTACTCTTTAACGATAAGAGTTACTACTAGTTGTGCATTTACTTCTAATGCCATTAATATGTTGGAATACTTCCAAAAGCCATCATAATACTCATTTTAGAATACTAATAGATAGAGAAGTATGAAACTAGTCACCTGATTTTTTTGCTAGTGACAAGTTGCATTAACGTTATTTTATTTATTTGTCGATTATAAGGTATCCCCCACATTTTTTAAAATATTTCAAAAACTCATAATAATCCTCAATTTAGAATATTAATAGATTTAGGGAATTATGGAAATAGTCATTCTGTTTTTTGGTATTGATAAGTCGTAATTGCGTTAATTTTATTGAAACCATATAAAAAAATGTCAATACTCGCTTCTCGGTAGACAAGTCATAAGAGCTCATAACATCGTTGATTTTCTGCAAACAAACATAATGTGCTCATAGGGATCATTTGACTAAGGCGGATATGTTGGTGGATCATTCGTTACTTGTATGAATCTTTTTCCATGGTATGTGGACTTAGGGAACTGTGGATATATGCATTTGGTAATTGAGATTGTAGCATGTCGTAATTTAATTAGTTTTATCATAATGACATGAAAATTCCATACCAGCTCTTAAATGAACAACTCATAGCAGCTCATACAATGGCTTCATTTTTTTCGTATCACAATCTATTTTGGCATAACACGTTTCATTTGTTCATGAAGACTAATTGCATTTGCCTAGGGATCCTTGTTTGTGTAAGAAACTTGCCTTAAAATTTCATGTCATGTGAAATTTTCAGCAAATTGCAAAAGTATTCATGTGGTATTTGAGGTTGTAATTGCATTCTTTGGGTCTTAACTCATTGAAAAATATTGTCCCATCTTTTTTATACATGAGTATTAACAGGTGGTACGAACTGTAAGGTAATTTATTTTGTCGACCTGCATTTCGTGCTTGTTCCAATGCAATATACTCGGCCTTAGTCATCAGTCAATTGAAAAGAAAGCATCAAGCAACACCTCCTTGATGGTGTCACTAACAAGTTCTAGAATGTTATAATTTGCGAGAGGAAGGGAAGTTTGCAAATTCCTTCTTTGAGGTCATAACTCAATATAATCATACTTAGTGTCATTTTTTCAATATGGCAGGTACAAATTCCGTGGCTTCAGTCGATGGTTCTCTCCCACATGGACAATTTAAGCAAAATATGGACCGACAATCCTCGAGATACTCTCACTTTTGAACATTTACGACAAGTGAAAGTTGATAATTGTAATAGCCTTGAAAATCTGTTTCCGCATTGGGTGGCTACAAGTCTAACCCAACTTGAAGAACTTCGAGTGGAGTCTTGTGGGATCGAGGAAATAGTCGCGAGTGGAGATGACACTTCACAGTCTGCTACTGCTCAATTTCTTTTCCCACAATTGACTACTGTGGTGTTCCATGATATGCCACAACTCAAGAGCTTTTACCCTAACTTGCCCACTTTAACTTGGCCATTCTTGAAGGAATTGCGAGTGACCCATTGTGACAAATTGAACATGTTGTCCTTTGCCGCATCCATGAACAAGTGGGCTCAGAGAAACGATCAACGCGACCTATTAGACCATGAAGCACACTTCTCGTTTGAGAGGGTATGATTGCAACTGCTCTTCCTCTGTTTCTTCTTTATTCTTTAATTCATCCACCATATCTCATGTGCACTGCGTGGTTATGTCACATTATGATACTATAAAAAAAGTGAACCCCTTACCTATCAGTTCGTTGACAACATAAGATATTTCTAACATCTTTAAGCACACTTTTCATTTGTGGACACCCAATATGTTTTTAGTAACACTATTAGCTCATCTCATCACCTAAAATTTCGAGGAACTATAGATTTTTGTTGACAGGGTAAGATATTCCTAATAAAAGATGACTTTGGTCAAGGTGGCTCTTGAATTAACTGTACTGACCTCTACTTAAAAAATTCACTTAAAATTTTCGATACGGATAATGTGAATTTCCTATGGACTAAATTGAGAATCGGGCACTGACATTTAGCAATTCCTTTTCAAATCGCAACAGGATGACCACCTTTCTTTTGATGTTTTCTGGGTAAAATGGATTTTCTTTTGTTTGTTTGATCATTCTGATGCCAATACAGTTCTTTCCCTTTCTATCTAATCATTATAACATGAGCGCTCAACCTTGGTTGGCGGATGGCAATACTGGACCATTTGGTTACAGTTTGGGTATTGTAGCACAACTTTAGAAGCTTGGCACATGTATGCAGGGCTGAGGAATTGTAAGAATAGGCCACCTTACATGGGAGTTAACCGACTTAAGTTTACCTGTCAGAGCACATGATTTATTTCCAAACCTGGTTGAATTTACTTCTCTCATTGTATTGGCAATTTTGTAGGACATTCCCACCTTAGAGAGACTTTTATTAGTCGATAAAGACATTCAGATGATACAGAATGGAAAATTTTCTGATGACATCTTTGGCAAGCCAAAAGCAGTAACATTGGCATGCTTTCATGATGAAAGGGCCGCCTTTCCTCCCATATTCCTCCTACAGAGATTTCAAAACCTACAAAGCCTTGAGGTCTTCTGCAGTTCTTTTGAAGATCTATTCCCTGACGAAGGGCTTGTTGGCGAGGGAAAACATCCGGTGCTTGAAAATTTAAGAGAACTTAAGCTAAGCAAGCTACACAAACTAAAGCGTGTCTGGAGAGAAGACTATTTAGTGGCAAAAATTCTTCAGAGTATTGACAAGTTTGAGGTTTGGGATTGTCCCGGTTTGACAACATTATTTCCAGCCGTGACATCCTTCAAGAATTTGACACAGTTAGTGGTGAAGAATTCCTCTGGATTTGTACATCTAGTGACGGTTTCAGCGGTCACAAATTTGGTGCATCTAACTGGCATGACTATAATAGGATGTGAAAAAATGAAAGAAGTAGTGGCAAACGATGTAGACGAAGAAGGAAAAGTGATTTCTCTAGGGAGGCTAACATGGTTGACACTCCAACAACTGCCAAACCTACTATGCTTCTCCTCTACCATAAGTTGCAGCTTTAGGTTTCCATCCTTGTTTCAAATTAAAGTGGCGAGTGCCCGAAAATGAAGATCTTTTCTAATGGTATGCTAAGCACACCACAACTACGTTATGCCACACTATTCAGATACTCATGGGATGGAAACTGGAAGGGTGATCTCAACACAATTATACAAAAGTTATCAGCATAAAGAAATGTACATAGAATTGGTAAGACCTCATTAATGTCGTTCTCATCCATAAATTTCTTCCGCTTGCCTCTGCTTCTCAAATTGTCCGACGCCTGAAGCATCATAAGTTCTAAAGTTTTCGCCTTTTTAACTTGTCTAGTCACACTAATAGGAGGGAATGGCAGGTGATGCAAGCGGCACAGAGATTTGGAAGTTTACTGAGGCACAATCAAAAGCTTGAGATGAAAAAATTTAATTGAGGTGAGAGATTCTATTTCCATATTCCCTCTTTCTCTTTAATAAAATCACCGTTCCGCAAAAGAAGTGAAGGACGTCCGTTTTTTTGTTAAGAAATGAAAGATGGGAACAAATTTCTTGCGTGGATGCTAAAAAAATCAGGGTTAGAATTGTCTCTTCGCCCAAAAAAAGCTACGGATTAGACACGTGGGCCCCTGAAGATAGCCCCCCCATAAATTATTACCGTGAATAAAATGACTTGCAATATGACAACCATTTGTTAATTGAATATAAATAGGTAGATAACATAATTTTCTCATAGTTTGCCAACTCAGCATCACGGCCTAAATCGGCACCATCCTCTTTTTTCATAAGTTACTTAAGCAATCCCATTTCCTTCTTTTCTCTTCAACTCTCTCCTTATTCAAGCGAATTGAAAATGTCGATCCATTCTTTTCTTTTCTTTCCTTTTCTTTTTCACGAGGAAATCGCATAAAAAAATGTTAAACCTTTCACTTTATGTACAATCAAGTTCTAAATTTTGAAAAAGTGTGATTAAATCATAAACATTTTAAGTCAGATGCACTCAAGTCCTTCCCGGTGACCACTCAACCGAATTTGTTAACGTGGCGTGTCGGAATCGAAATCAATTTTCTAATAGGTATTGCTCTCTTGTGATCAATACAGCAGTAGGTACGGATTAAAGTCTAGTAATCACATAACTGAAATAATTAAGGATGAACTTTAAAGCCAGCATAGACATTGAAGGAGGATGTTCCATCAGAGGACTAGTCTTTCCACCTTTTCAACTTATGTAACAATGAATGAAATCGAACAAAAATAATCATGAATTTTACCCAAACTAGCAACGGGTGAAATTTCACATTTTCAACTAAAATTTATTCGCCGTAGAGTTGCAGGACTCACGGCTAAAGAGTTAGACCTGCTCGGACCCCATCAATTTTTTGAGGAATTGTTTCATTAGCCATTTTAATGATTGGCAAGTCTTTGCAAGAGTTTTGACGCCTAATTCCTACACGGACCCGCTCATTAGTCAAGTCTTCTAACTAGTGGGCTGAATGTCTAATGGCGATGCCCATACTAATTACACATCACTTTGTCAATCAATTCTATCGATTTGAGTCTTAGTACCTCTAACATTATTCTTGATACAATTTCGATCAACTGACAGATTGTCCATCTTTTCATACATTCAATTCCCTGTGTGTTCTTCTTAATGAGCTTCCTCAAGCATTCATTTGTTTTTTAACTTTTCATTCCAGAAATGAATTTCTTCTCCAATTAAATGCCATATTACTAGTTTAGGTTCAGACGTTACAACTTATTACACAAATTGTGCTCAGGGGATGACTTCTAGTAGCCAGAGAGAAGATGAACAGCGCCGGCAAAGTTTTGCACTGGAGACGCCTCATTTCTCCAAGACCATACTCTCTCTAAAGGAAGGAGATGTCTCTGTGTCCGAGCTCATTGGAATTGATAATATTGAACTCAAAGTCTCCATTTTCAGAAGGAATGTCAAGACTTGGGCGTAAACTCTGGTATGCCCATAGAAAACTCTCTGCTTCACTGTGTTTTGTTTAGTTAATCAGATCAAAGAAAGCAAACCTTTCTGCTGCAAGTAATTGAATGTGGATGTATTTCCTGATGTTTTTTTTAGAGTAGCGAACATTACACCTGGACATTGAATCTTCCAAAATTCCAAGTATGTGTGTGCTTAATTTTCAACCTCTTAGCATATTGCGTCCTTTTTTGACAAAGTATAAATCGAACTCTCATGCGGAGCATGGGATCGATAAAGTAAAAGGTCAATGGTAATCCGTATCTTCTGTTGCCCACATGGAGAGTTGATCTATAATAGAGACTTTAAGTATATTCGTTCAAGTAATTTCTGTCACCATTGAGGTGGTGACAGAAAAGGAACGAAAGAATGTCCTGCACCAACTCTGTTTTCATGAAATGTGCAGTGGTCTGTAGATTCTAAGGAAGGTTGTATTGAGGATAAATCTTGCAAGCCATCAATAACACAAAAGGAAGTTTCGACAAGAGGGCTAGTCTTTCACCTGTTCACCTTACAAAATGGATGAATGACATCAATAGAACAATAATGAGTCTTATAATAATTACAAAACTGAATCGCCATAAAATTTCCAGAGCTCATGGTAAGCAAGTATCCCAATGTTCTTGACCTTGGGGCTGTTAAGATAAAGTAATAACACCACCTGTCAGTAAACTTGCTTGTATCCCCCCAAATAGAACATCAGCAGTCGAGCTATCCAGCGGCTCCTATGAGTCAGGCACAGCTGGATCAGAAGAAACAGTACTGCTCGGCTCGCCGTTTTTGCTTATAGGATTGCTGAAGAAGCGGCCATTGACTTCTGCTCCATAGATGTCCCACATCTTGGAGCGTCTCGTCTGCAAGTATCTCTTGTTCTCCTTTGTTATGGGAGTTACTAGAGGGACTCTGTCGGCGATAATCAAGCCATAACTTTAAAGCCCCACGTACTTCATCAGCTGCATGGTTCTGACTCACCACCAAAGGAGGAAGTCGCAAGCAAGCGCTCCAAATACTTTCCTCCGTCACGCTCGCACAAACAACCCCAATACTCTCTCTCCTCATCTTCTCCCACCATTACAATCTGTAATTCAGTTCCAACCATGACATGGACTGTTATGGATGAACAATTGAAATGCACTCGACCAATGTAATGCAGAAAGCACCCCAACCGTTCCTT